TGAGCCAATGGTTTTCTAGCCAATAACGTGGGAAAGGAAACTAGGGGTAGTCCACGGTTTCTAATATCTTCCAAACAATCACTTTTAGATTTACTTTCATTTCATTATCTTTATCATAGTCAAATTTATCGTAATTCATAATTAAATGATATTGAGCTTACATATTGACTTACTCACACACTAAACATTCGGTTCTGAATGTGAGGAGGTTGTTAAGTGTCCCACATCAGTTAGGGACGGGAGATTCAGTCTCTTATATGAATTTAGACAATTTTTATCCTATGAGTTTATTTCTGAGATTAAGTTAGGTTTAAGATTCATTTTTTTAATTTTATTTTTACTTTTCACTCTAATATAGATAATTATTAGTTATAACATTTAGCCTAACCAAATAAAAGCATATTTTTTTTTATGTTTTTCCTTTAACATTGTCTCAAATCATTTCTTAAGATCTAAAACTACATATATATTAATTAAGATCTCTCTTCTTCTTCATTCTTAAGAGGAATGCATTAACAAAATTGTCCTTCCATATAGATCGTCGGATATACGAATATGATAAAATATTTATATTTTTTATTATATTTTAAAGTATGTGCAATATGGAATTAATTACTCCATATATATCTATCCGTGACTCTATGTGGATCATGCAAATGGAGGAAACGACAATAACCCCATTCATGATGATTTATATTGATTTTATTTTTTTTTTGATGGATTCATTCTTGAGAAATGCGTGGTACAATGAAATTAACTCTAAAAGATAAATTTCATTAAGCTAGTTGTCTATTTAGAATTCCATTTTGGATGTTTGGTTAAAGATAATTGAGATTTGAGACTTGAGGGTGTGGGTTTTATTTTATGCTTAACTAATAGTCTGTGTGGTCAAATTTTCGAGAGGTCAAAAATATTGGAGTGTTTGATTAATAACAAAAGTTGTTTTTTTAGAAGATGAAAGAAAAATGTTTTTCTCTAAAAAGTTTTTTTTTTTTTTTTTGAAAAATACTATTTAGAAATTACATGTAGAAACACTTTTTAAAAATTTGGTCAAACACTAGCTAGTTGTAGCTAAAAAGTACTTTATAAATTAATTAATCAAACACAAATTATTTTTTACCAAAAATATTTTTTTAGAAATCACTTTTCAAGATGAATTGATTTTTAAAGTTTCTAATAAAGTAAGTCATTGTCAATTAAATTATATTTTATCATTATTCGATCCACAAACATGCGTGTTATAATACAAGTACAAATTGGAGCACTTAAACTTGAAAATTAATACTCTTATAGACTAATTCTTCTCATATTATCACTCAAATAACAATTTAAAATATATGTAATATAACAAGAGTGAAATAGACAATGAATAGAATAAAGGAGAAAGCTTGATTGTTGTTTAAAGTCGGAAGGAAAGTTCAATTTTTAAAACAAAATTGAGAATGCGAATAATTTTTATCCCCTACTCAAACAATAAATTATTTTGTATTATAAAGAACTTGTACAGAGTGTTTCGTGGGGTATGAATGGAAATGCTTGCATTGCAACACATGTACTATCTTTATAGATTATCATATAGTTTTCGAACGATTCTTACTCTATAATGAAGAAGTTGCACACTATTTCCTCCCCATAATAAATATGTTGCACATAAGTTAATTTGAGATTGAAGTGTAATTTTTTTATCAGTTTAAAATTTTGGTCAATCAAGTTGCATTAAAGCTACTCAAGAATTTCACTATTAAGTAGTGTGGTTATAATTATATGTCTTTTCATATTAGGCAAATAACTTGTTTAAAAGAATTGTGTGTAGACCAAATTAGGAGGACTAACTTTTAAGTACTTAATAACTAATTTATTTATTTTTTGAATATGTGGTATTAGTTGTTATGTCATCACCAAATGCATCATATAAAATATTTGTTAATAGCTATATACTAATATATATTGAATATAGAATATTAGATAAATTAAAGAACAATTTTGTATTATTATAGATCAAATATAGAATGTTAGAATATCAAAACTAAATCAAGATAGATGACAAAAATATTATTATAAAATAATTAATTGTCTGCTAGTTCTTTAATCGTATTAATTAATAGTTGAGATTATATATCACCGTCTCATTAAAAAAATCTTCATATTGGAAAGTAGATAATGAAAAATAAAAAACTTAAAATTTGTAATATGTTATTTTAGTGCAACCTTCTAGGCGAAAAAAGGAGGAGATGAATATTGTTTTAAGAAATTAAAAAAAAAATGTCATATAAATTTGAATAAAAAAAATAATAGATTAAAAGGCAAAAATTCTAAAAAAAAAAAAATGAACCATAAAATTTAACCGGATGGCTACTTGTCCTCCCCCTCTCACCCCCCAAATAAAATGTACTTATAAAATATATTTCCTCGATTTCATTTTACTTGACATTTGTTATTAGGAATGATATCGAAAGAAAATAATAAATTTCTCTTTATTTGCTAAAACAGACAATTAAACAAATAAACGAAAAAGTGTCAACAACTTTTTCTTATCCCCCTTACAACATACAATGTCATCCCGTTTATCTCGATTGAAACCAAGATCCAAACCAATCGATGAATGTTACCCAACATATCAACAATTACAAGAAGAAGAAGAAGAAGAAACATTCAACACTAGAGATGTTTCAAGACAAGAAAACGTCGATAATGATGATGATGATGATGATGAACCTGTATGGACATTTCGCGTGTTGTTATTGGGATTATTATCGTTTATTTTCTTGATAATTATCACAAAATATTATCTTCATGAGACATCAGAATGTGTTGTGTCAATGGTATGGGTTATGGTGTTTGTGTACCCTATAGGTTTTATTATGGGCAAGAAATTACCAAAAAGGAAGATTTATTTACGTTTAATTGGATTGGAATTTTCTTTGAATCCAGGATATTTTAATACCAAAGAATATGCATTGATCTCTATAATTGGTAATATTGGTGCTGTTTATGGTGGATTAACTTCTGATTTCATCCTCAATACCTCTTTCTAGCTTCATTTTTAAAGAGATCTAATATTAGGGGTCGTTTAGTAGCTGGATAAACGCAAAGTTAATACATGAATAAGTTGATTGTTCATGTATTAATTTTATACCATTTTTGTTTGTAAATAGGATAGGAGTTATTCATATATTAATTTTATACTATCTTTGATCGGTAGGATTGTATCTTTATTGAATTATTATAATGTAGTTTACTTTGTAGTTTCTATTTTTGAGGGGTGAAATAGATTGTGAAATTCAGTATTAAAATATGTGAATGGAAATTGGCTTGTCGGAAATGTTTCTGACAAACTTTTAGATAAGAATTTCATATTTCTGATAGGATTTAGATGGGAGTGTCAATTAAATATTCATATTTTTGTAGTAGTGATTGTTATTTGTGCTATGTGTTTGTCTCTTATATTTCGTTTATTTTATTATCTTGTTGTTGTTTTTCCACTTGTTTTTATTGCTCTTTTTTTTCATCTCTTCTTGAATTAAGATCTATCGAAAATCATTTTTCTGGTAAAATTTATGTATACTGTATTCTCTCCAAATCTCATCCATTGGAATTATACTTGATAAGGAGTAAGAAAATTTCGACCAAAATAAAATTGAAATATATGAATCAGTTATATTGGAGTAGTAACAAACTAATCTAGCTATTAAAGGAATAATGTTAATTTTTTCTATTAAAAATTAAAATTGTGGATGGCCTGGAAGACCATTTCCTGAAATATAACTCCTTTTGATTTAATTTACGTGGCATGATTTAGCCGTATATAATGTTAGAAAATAAAACTCTAAACAAATTGAAATTTGTGCTTTAATACAAATTAGAAACATTAAAATACTAGAAAGTTTAAAAGTTGTAATTTTTAAATATAAAAAGATATACAAACTAAAAGGAAAAGTATACATAAACTTAAGTACCTTATATTTTATGTTACGCATCAAAGGTGTATCTAGCGTGGAGGGGTGTTTAATTCGTGTGCACCAACCGACCATACATAGTAAGGTCTATATTTTTTCAAAACCACTTAAATACACACGTGTGCACTTAAACTCAATAAATTCGATGATGCAATAGATAATAGGTGCATCTTTACAAGTAAAATTGGAGGTTCAAATCTCGCATATGTCTTGTTGTTTTCTCCCCTAGAATCAAGTTCGGATTTCAAATTTTATGTCTTTCTTATTAATTATTAGAATCTTAATAGCTCATAATTTTATTCAGACAAGTCGAATATACATATTGAAACCAATAGTAGAAGAGGATATAGCATATAATAAACGGGTGAACTAATTTCCATAATTTCAATACAAAATATAGATATGTTACTTAAATTGTAAGATACAATTTTTTTTTAAAAATAACATATTTCTTAAAGTACAACAAATTAATGGTATGGCCTTAAAAGTTTAACATGGATATAAATAATGAATTTGTCCTTTCAAAATCCTCAATTTTTGTCCTTGTATCTAGTCATTATACATAAATGACGCCCATTTTCATTTGTCTATATTACTTTAATTTCACCAAAATATTTTGATCTCAAATTCACAACTAATTTTTCCTGTTTTTTCTATGTAGCCGCATTATTTTCGCATAAATAATTATTTTTAGCCCTATATATATTTTACAATCATAACTATATTCTAGTGAAAACTCATCGATATTTTCCCCCTTGGCCTCCCTGGCCCCTGTCAAAGGGAAAACATAAAAAGGAAAAAAATAAATAAAGAGCATTGCATTGGATTCAAAATCTTTGTAAAAATTTGTGTAACGAAAAAATCACTCAACTTTGATCAGGGGTTATACGCGAGGGTGTCACAAGGACAAAAATAGTTTTCCAAAATTTCGTGTGTTTGGTAGAAAAGAAATTTCTAGAAAATTTGTCAACATAGAAAAGAGAACAATTTGAATAACTCAAAATACCAAAAGGAAAAAAAAAAAATTTAAGAAGAGTTTAAAAATTCTCTTTTTTTCTTTTTGACTCTAATTAACATCATTTGATTGTAACTGAAGCCATGGGAGTCGAGAAAGACGTAGAAAATGAATTTGAAGAAGAAATTCATGAAGATGAAAATTCTCCGATAGAACAAGTCAGGTGTGTTTTGAATCATGTGATCATCTCATCTGAAACATTAAATTATTTGATAGAAAAGTTCCATTTTGTATGATATTGTTTCCTATTTTAACCTATTTTTTTTAAAAAAGAATGATTTTATCTATTTTGAAATGATTAACTTCAAGTTTGTATTTCTGTTTGGTATGGAAGAAAATATTTTTTAATTTTTGCATGTTCAATTGGTCAAAAAATTTGAATTGCTTTTTGGAAATCAAGCCCTTTAAAAATGAGGAAAAATAACTTCTTACTAGAAGTAGGGAAAACAATTTCACAAGTGACATTTCAAAATATATATTGTTTCTATCGTCCTCTCCCCCCAAGACACCTCATCTTCACCCTCAACCCTAACCTCCCATATTGTTTCTCTAAATTATACACAAATATTTTTAGGATAACAATTTTTGCTAACATACCCAACATAAAAAATAATAAGTCCGAAACCAACTCACTTTTTCGAAAAACATTTTAAATGACATTAAATAGCCACACAAAAATCACAAATTCCAATTATAGCCTTACAAATATAGTGGAATGTTTAAAACATGATTTTATCGCTACATAAATATCACAATTTCCTAGATAAAACATGTTCATAGAAAATGGATAGAAAAAAAAATTCTTTACAGCTACTTATATTACTCGCATGCTAATAATTTCATTTACTTAATTATATTATGTCTCGACAATCAGGTTGACAGTGTCAAATCAGGACGACACGACTCTACCAGTATGGACATTCCGTATGTGGTTCCTCGGACTCCTGTCGTGTGCAATTCTGGCATTTCTCAATACATTCTTCAGTTATCGGACACAACCATTGAGCATAAGTATGATAACTGTTCAGATCGCGGCGTTGCCACTGGGAAAAGTCATGGCTAAAGTGTTGCCTACGAGGAAATTTAAGATAGGATCATGGGAGTTTTCGTTGAATCCAGGACCATTTAACATGAAAGAACATGTTTTGATTTCGATATTTGCAAATTGTGGTGCTGGGACAGCTTATGCTGTTTCAATTGTGACTATTATTAAGGCATTTTATTTGAGGAATATATCATTTGTGGCTGGTTGGGTTCTTGTTGTTACCACTCAGGTAATTTTCATCCTTAATTCCATCAAAATAACATATGGTATGTTCTTAATGTGGTTAAAAGAAATGAACCTTAAAAGTTAGCTGAAGAGGTGTTGATTGTTCATAATATATATTAAAGGACCGATGTGAGACTTCTCACGTTCAAAGCTGGACATCTGGTGTGTGTGGATAAGAGGGCTAATGTCATAAATGAGAATTAGGAAGGATTTTGTTGTGATACCATGTTAAAGAAATAGATCTTAAGCTTGACTCATTCGCAAAAGGTAGTTTAAGAGGGGAGGATTGTCCAAACCATGTTAAAGAGACTATTGATCCCTTAAAGGGATGATTTGAGACTCTTCACACGTGTGTACATGCATTACACCTTTCTTTTTTTCGACTTGCATTTCACAACATATTAGGAAATAGAATTTCGCATGATTTATATGTTGCATGGGAGATTGAACACACGAACAAAGTCTAGTATTTAAGTTGGAAAGTTTCACACTTCACGAAGTTTTGACTCTACTAGTCAACTAGAGTTGGGACGAAAGCGTATAGGAGATTTCTTGAAACCCATGTAGGTTTTTGGCCCAACTCCAATAACTATTAAGGTAATAGGAATGTCCATGTGGCGAGGGGTGGAATGTCTAATTTTCTAGCTTCACCTTCCCTCTTTTTGAAGGATAAAATCGCGCTTATCCTTGTGTTGTAATCAGAGACTAAGGCCAAGTCCTCTTGTAACTTTCTTCTTGATTTATAACGACCTGGGGAAATTTTTAAAAAAATGTCCATGTGGCAAAAATATTCATTTTTTTAAAAAATATTACACTTCATACCTATTAACCTAACATGGTGTATTTGATCAGGTTTTGGGGTATGGATGGGCAGGGATAATGAGGAAGTATGTTGTAGACCCTGCAGAAATGTGGTGGCCTGGTAATATGGTTCTAGTCTCTCTTTTCAGGTAACTATTTGATGTGCGGTACTACTTAAATACCTGATTAATTTAAATTCATATCATGTTAATTTACATATGAAATTTTGTACAGGGCACTACATGAAAAAGACGCAAATGGTAAAAGCTCAAGAGGAAAATTCTTCTTAGTAGTTCTAGCTTGTAGCTTCATTTGGTACATAGTACCTGGATTTCTCTTCCCAACATTATCAAATATCTCATTACTATGCCTTTTCTACCCAAAATCAGTCATAGCACATCAAATTGGGTCAGGAATGAAAGGGCTTGGGATATTATCATTTACATTTGACTGGTCAGTTGTAGCATCATATCTTGGAAGTCCATTAGTTTGTCCATTATTTGCAATTATCAATGTTATAGTGGGGTATGTCACTGTGGTTTATGTACTGATACCAATTTCATATTGGGGATTTGATATTTACAATGCAAAGACATTTCCAATATTGTCTTCACATTTGTTTAATGCTCAAGGACAAAAGTATGATATTAACACAATTGTTAATGACAAATTTGAGTTGGATGAAGTGGCTTATGGGAAACAAGGAAGGATTAATATAAGCACTTTTTTTGCACTTACTTATGGATTGAATTTTGCTGCTGTTATTGCTACTCTCACTCAAGTTGCTCTCTTCAATGGAAAGTAAGTCTTTTTTTTTTTTTATATAACAATAGTCTGTTCTGTTGAGTTGTTGAATAGTCTTCTTTTTTATAATAATAGTTTGTTCTATCGAGCTGTTGAAAAGTCTTCTTTTTTATAGTAATAGTTTGTTCTGTCGAGCTGTTGAAAAGTCAAAGTGTTTATTTTGATGAGATTTGAAGTGTTTTAACCAAGTTTTTAGGGAGGGAAAATAAGTATTTTTTTAAGTAGTTATAGAATATAATAAGATTGTTTTTCGGAAATGAAAGAAGTCGTTTTTATTTTTTCTAGAAATACTTTTAGCTTCAAATTTCGTCGCTAAATTGTTCTTAGTTAAGCAGGTTTTGTTTTTTTTTTTTTGACAAATAGGATTAGTGATACATTTTATTGTTTAGCTACCAATTATCCGTTGCTAATTTTTATTTTTTAATAAACACAAATTGTTGCTCTAATTGACAAAAATATTTTCAAATGGGTTAGTTTAACACAATTGTTACTTTGCAAATGTACATTTTAAAAAAACATTTTATTTTTATTTGTCACTTTTAACATAGCAGGAAAAACAATTTTTTTTTCATATTTTACCCTTAACATTAATTACTTTTCCATCAAATCATTTTTCAAGACCTATTACGTACTAAACATCGATTAAATATGAATATCATGGTAAAATATTCATATCATTCATTATTTCTTCAAGAACGTACTAAATTTTTTAATTTTCCACCCAGTGTCTGATATCTGTATTGAAACCTAATTTCATTCGAATTTACGCCGGAAAGTCTCATAGTACTTGTTAATTTGTACAGGGAGATAATTTCTAGATTTAGAGCTTCACATAAATCAGGAAAGTCTGATGATATCCACACAAAACTTATGAAAAAATATCCAGACATTCCTGGCTGGTGGTTTCATGGAATGCTTGTAGTTTCATTGGCTTTATCACTTATACTTTGCATTGTGTGGGTTGATCAAGTTCAACTTCCATGGTGGGGTCTTATTTTTGCTGCTGCCATTGCCTTGATTTTCACTCTCCCTATAAGCATCATCACAGCCACAACAAACATGGTAAGTAATTAATGTTCTCTCTCTGATTTTGACTTAATACACAGAGTTTAATTATGTATATATATATAGTAGATGTTGAACTCCTGGTCCTTGGACTTCTTCATATTTTGAACCTCTTTAGTGAAAATCTTGACTCAATCACTGATTTTGAGTATTTGATACGTAGTTTAAGAAGTAAAGAAAAAATTTGAATCTTGGTTTTAAACATGTCAAGTGGAGACAAAAAAAAGACAGATAAATTGAAACAGAGAGGGTAATAATTAATTAGATTGTCATTTTCTATTATTGTCTCAATATTTTGTGAGACTATAAGTGTAAAATTGCTTTGAGTTTAACGTTTACATACTCAAAGTATAAAAGAATATTATATTATAAGGTCATCTAAAATATACAAAGTAATAATAATAATAATAATGTGAATGTTCTCACATTGTAAGTGTACATAAGTTAAATCCAATTGTTCGTTGGCTCGATTAAGTTTTCTTGACTAAACAAACATGATAATTATTAGATTGTATATTACAATAACAACATGTTCAGTATAATTTTAATTTAATTATTAATTTTTTGGTGCATTGAATATTTTTTTACTAAACAAATTTTTGCTTGTGATGACAGACACCAGGATTAAATGTGATCACAGAATATATTATTGGTCTAATAATTCCAGGGAAACCAATAGCCAATGTTTGTTTTAAAACATTTGGGTATATAAGTATGGCACAAGCTGTTTCATTTTTATCGGATTTTAAGCTAGGACATTATATGAAGATTCCTCCAAGATCTATGTTCATTGTTCAGGTATTATATTATATTAATTAATTAATTAATTAAATTACTTATTTTTGTTCTCGTTTACTATTTCTATATGTCCTGACTCGTTGCACTGAGCATTAGTTGAAGTCTAAGTCCGTGACATATAGACACTTTAATGTGACTTCCATTGGCACACATGCAGTTGAACACCTCATCTTTCAGTGGGACCATGCATCTAGATACCTCAACTCATACTACCCACTGACTTACATAAATCTTACTAGTTTATGAGCTAATTACTTAGATACACTCTAGTTTGCAATATAACGTATTTTACCAGATTTTGGTGCCTCTAGATACGTCTAGATACATGTATCTCGAATATATAGGGTCAAATTTAGGTGTAATTTGTTCTAGATACATTGTATCCAAGTGGATTTGCATGTATCTGAGATACATAACAAATCTCACTCTCCTCCCTCGCCTCTCTCCCATCTCGCTCGCCACTCTCCCCAGATACATGTGAATCACTCCACATACATACATATACATGTATCTAGTGTGCATCTAGTGTGATTCGCATGTATCTGGTATACATACGAATCTCACTCGCCCTCCCTCCCCAATCTCGCTCACCTCTCTCCCTATTTTTTTTGTATTTGGTAGCAAAAATACATGTATTATTACATAGGAAACTCTTAATTAGTGTTAAGATATGTAATCTATTAAAAATATAGGTAATAATAATATATATGATAGTGCAGTATGTCTAATTCGTAGTTACTTATTTTATTGTAGTACTGTACATGATATTCAATAAGCTGATTTTTTTTGTTGTTGTTGAAACAGTTGCTTGGAACATTGATTGCTGGTACAATAAACATGACTGTAGCATGGTGGCTACTAACAAACATTGATAATATATGCCAAGATGCATTACTCCCAGTAAATAGTCCATGGACATGTCCAGGAAATCGCGTATTTTTCGATGCATCGGTTATATGGGGTTTAGTAGGACCTAAAAGAATGTTTGGTGAACTTGGAAACTATGGTAAACAAAATTGGTTCTTTCTTGGTGGTTTATTTGCACCAATTGTAGTATGGTTGTTACACAAAGCATTCCCAAAACAAAGTTGGATTAAATTGATTAACATTCCAGTACTTTTAGGTGCAACTGCAAATATGCCTCCAGCAACACCTTTGAACTTCAATAGTTGGATTTTCTTTGGTATTATATTCAATTACTTCATTTTCAAATACCAAAAGAAGTGGTGGCAAAAGTATAATTATGTGCTCTCAGCTGCATTGGATGCTGGATTGGCATTTATGGGAGTTTTTATATATTTCTTCCTTGATAATGTTAAACTTGATTGGTGGGGTACTGGTGGAGAATATTGTGGTTTGGCTAGTTGTCCTACTGCTAAAGGCATCGCGGTTGAAGGATGTCCTTTGCATTGATTTTATTATAATGGACGTGCTCGTTTTGGACTTGGTCATGCTTGATGAGTTGATCAAGGTCATGTGTGCACCAGGTTGATATGGTTGTTGATCAGGCCAACGATATATATAGTTGTTGATGAAGGATGTCTTTTGAGCTGGTCAGACTCATGTGTGACGGTGTATATATATATATATAGTTGTTGAAGAATGTCCTTTTGTGTTGATTTCACTATAACAGTAGTTGTGTTCTTCTCAAACTTGCACGTCCCTCTTTGAGTTGATCAAGTTCATGCGCGACAATATCATTGAAGATTTCACTATTGTTATTATTTGTCGCGCTCTTAAAAGTATATATGTTTGTACAAAATTATCTTCTTATAGGAAGTTAACCCCTTAGGTCATTGTAGATTCTTAAGTAACCTTAACTTGTATAAATATTTCTCAGTTCTCACAATAAGGATAAGGTAATCCCCCACATAATGTAATTTTTTTTTTTTTGTAATGTTCTATGAAGTTTAGTTTGATGTATGGACTTGATCATTCAATGACTATATAAGTAATGTATCCATGTTTTAGAAGTATATAATATTTTGCTTCTTTTCTTCTTGCTTTGTATATTTTTCCTTTCTTGTAGAATTCCATGTCCTAATTAATTTTCTGATATCTTTTGGTTATTGTGAATCAGTTTCATTAATCGTCGAAGTTAAATTGAATGTTAGATCACAAGCATTGCTAACTTAAAGGCATATGCATCACAAGCATGAACTATCAAAACAGTTAAGGAACATTAGATTGGGTGGTTGTTCGGTAGATATTCGATGCAGGCAAACATCCTTGCAATGATCAGGTCAGTTGACCATTTTTCCCTGACATCAACGGATTCTAGACGAGTCTTTAACTGTGTTATCAAAAGCAAAAAGCACAAAAGAACTCTTAAGGTCCGATGGGACTTTAAGCGCAAATAAAGTGTGGGGCTTCAATGAAAAAAGGCTCAAAGGGAGAAACTAATACAAATATATATGTTAAGTCCAAGACTAATAACTATAGGCATGAATTACAAATATATGAACAACTTAGTGTCGCCCCTTTAGAAGAGGTTCATTGACAAAGAAAAGTATGTCTTAGAACATTGATGACGACACTAATAACACGCATTGCGCCAGGCGAAGCGGTCAACACGTTTTGAGCCTCATTTCAGGACTTAAGCGTGCATTTGACAATACTGGTCTTTAATAATTTAAACATATGTTTGTGAGTTGGAACACTTGGTCGAGAAGAGAGGTTAATGGCATAGTGTGCATATTCTCCACTAATGCAGCGACAGCCTGCAGTTTTTCAGTAAGACAAGAGTCAAGGATCCCAATAATGAGAGTTTATTTGTTGCTTTGAAATTATATGAACGCGAAAATTACCTCAATTTTGTAGTTCCTGGCATTTCATAGTGCTGTAGCTGTGGTTGGCTTAGCTGGAGATGAAGAGGTGTGAGAGGGTCCTCGTTGACGCTTAAACTGTTTGAATTCATGGCATTTCTGCTCACTGCATTTGCTTCTCTAGTTCCATAAACCTGATTTTCGACAGAAGATGTAGAAATTCTTTTGGAGCAGAGTGACTAGAGTTTTTGTCTTGATCTTTTAGAAGGAAATTATTATCTACAAGCATAAGCGAAATCTTTTCTAGAGATATATATTGATACCTTCTTATACAATTCCATATTTTCTTGACGAACAAGGTCTAGTTTCTTATAAAGTTCCTTGTTTTCTTGATGGCTGAAGTTTCTCTGCAAAGAAACAGATGAAGTAAGCTTGTTAAATTAATATTTTTTTATAATAAATGACAAGAAGTGGTTGTAGTTACAGGTTGACCTTTCGGTTTAGTTCTTGTACCTCTTCAACCAGAATTTGGTCCTACAGAAATCAGAGATGTCAGTGTTATTTATACAAATAATATGCTGCAGATTTGGAGGTGAAAGCTCAAACCTTTTTCACACGGACACCACGCAGACTCATTTCAAGTTGCTTTTCCAAGTTTTGTAATTCTTTGACATTCAATCCAGATAGCTCTTCACCCATCATTTTTCTGCAGGAGAAACAATCTTTTAAGCCAATTTAGGCCTTTAACATAAATCCATGGTTAAAATGACTATGACTGCAAGCATGTGTTTAACGGATTAGGAAAAAAAGAAGAGGCTATAGCTACCCAATTCATGGTGTTTTGGTATGATGAGCTTGATAATTTGAGCTCCCACAGAAACCCACAATACCATATGATATTATTGTTATGCAACATGTGGTAGAATGTTAGTGTTAGTCAAGAGGAGAGCTAGTGCTTCTGTAACAGGTTCAGCGAATCCAATAGCTTTGGTACAACCTTGTATTTGTATTAAAAAGTTTATTTAATATGTGCAAATTATTAATTTAGAACCCAATGAATTTATACGACTAGAATCCCGGATCCATAAGCTTTAGCTCCACCTTTGGTGTTAGTCATATTGCATCATAGGTATGTGTATATTCTTCTGAATATAACAACTCTGTTTTAGAATATCTCTCGTATACTTGCATGTTATAAGAGTCTCCAAGATTATAGCAGAGACCTAAGCCACTTTCTCGTCGAGCTGTCTAGCTTTGACAATATCCACCTCTACCAAAGGTTTTTTCTTTTACTAATTTTAACTTATCTCATCATTGTTCATGGGGTAATCTCTGGTGGCATCACATCTCTTTCCTGCCACTATTCTGGGGATGTATGCTGCCAGAAAGTTTTCAGCTATCTCTCTTTCCAATATTCTGTCTGTTGCCTTTGGGTTTAGTCCTATTGGTAGTTTAATAAGTCATTCACTCAGAACTTGAATAATTATGCTAATTGGGGTGAAAGAGCTTACCGATGATTCCGTTGCAAGTTCTCTAGTTGTTTCCTCAGCAGCGCAGCTTCCCTTTGCCAAAACTGCAACAAGAAGATGTATTAGTAAATTTCAGTAGCTTGGATTATCAATAAAAGAGAAATCAATAGAATGAGCCTTTCAGAAATGGTTTGATAAGATCGTTTCACATATCAAAAACCATAACAAGCCTTTCAAAAATGGTTTGAAGACAATAATGAGCTGCTGTTGCTTTCTAAAATTAGCATCAAATTAACCAAAACAAAACCATACCATTTCAAAAGCAAACAAAAGAAAAATAACTCTTTGTTTTCAAAAAACCATAATAACCTTTCAATATGTGTTGAAGAAAATAATGAGCTACTGTTGCTTTCATGAATTTGCATCACGTTAACCAAAAAACAAACGTACCTTATGAGAAGCAAATAAAGTATAACATCTTTCGTTTTTGTAAAATTATTTGTCCTTTTACAATCATGTTTGAATTTTGTATGACAATTACACTATTGGTTCCTCATCTAATACTTTCATTCACCTCGTGTAATACAACTTAAGATTGCAACCACATCTGGTGGTGCAAGATAGAACCCCTGGTGGCTTGAAATGGTATGACTATAACTTTCACTGCTCTGAGACAGCACGACAAAGTAAAGGACTCTTATATAAACCTTTTGGTTTGGTAAATGAGTGTTCACTATTTAGTTTATAAAATGTCCTAACTGAAGGGCATTCACAGGTGTTGATAGAGGTTCAGGGGTATTCCTTATATTAGTTTAAGATTTTGAGTTAAATACGTAGTTCTTAATGTTGTATTGAAGCCAACATTGACAAACCCATTCTCCTTCTAGTGAGTTAATTTTCTCCATGTATGATTTCCAAGTAATATGTGCATAGTTCTTACTGTCAACATTTACTATGCATGAAGATATTCAGTTTGAGATAAAGGGAGTCTTTCAGCTTATGTTTTTGCCCGTGCTAGCTCCTACATAACCAGTATCCCTGTCTCTAAATGCTGGCACTTCCATTCATTAGTTTATTGGTATTTGAGTACCAAACATAGGATTGGCATGCATCCAGGTGTGTATCGTGAGAGCTCGGATTTCCTTCAACTAATCATTTTTGCATTTCCGGAAGTTATTGCATCTTCAGTGAGTTGAAAGGAATTAACATTTGAGTCAAATGATGGTATGACTTATAATGGGAATACAGTTTGGAGGATTGTATCTCTTGAGTTCAAATGTAGCTCTAGATTACGACAAGTTAAATGTGCCATCTTCAAAAAAAACTAGCTGTGCATTTTGTCTAGCTATATTTCTTGAAGGTAATGTTAGCAGGGGCTTAATTTTCCTGCATATCAAGAATAATGTGTAGCACGTTGTTTTTATATTGCAGAAGACCTAACTGCATTCTTGTACCCATGGTGTTGGCTTAAGCTGAATCACTTAGATTCATGTAAACCTTTCTGCTTTTCTTGAACAGGAAATTAGGACTTGGAACCCCAATTAGAACTCATTCCCTAGTTCCAACGAGATGCTCATACTCGAATTTGTGTACTGTAATAACTTATAAGTATGTTCCTTAGATATCCGACAAGCAGTAGCTGCTAGGATGGTGGGATTAACATCTGAGCACAAATCTAAGCTATGTGATAAATCATGTCAGCACTGAGCAGTCATACTTGGGTTAAAAGACACCTGATTAAGAGGGTTCAAGAGCTGCTTCTGTGATCAATCTATACCAGAAAATACAGACCAACCATTTCCAGATTCCATGCTCTAACTGAACTACTAAAGCACTCGGCCAGATAAAAGAATCCTCTGAACACAGGAATAGATGTGTTATGCTGAGATCTATGTATAGTTATTCAATAGACTGATACCTCACTTTAGTTTGGCAGTAGTACAGGGCTATGCAACTTCTGAAAGTGGGAAGGTCCAAAATTTCTATTCTTTTCCCTCTAATCAAATAATCTTCACCTATGTTTTGACCTGCACCATTGAATACTGATCGGTAAAGCAGAACGAACTATTTTTTTATGGAAATTTTTATTCCTTTGCTTCTTCTCATAATCTAAAGAACAGACCTTCTGACCCTGAAACAATTGCAACGAAATAGCAGAAAGATGACATGACTAGGCTAAGATTGGTTGTAGACTTGTAGAGCCGGATACTGTTGTTTGAATCAAAGACCTTCAACCAGTGATATCCCAGAATGTCATTATGATATTGCAAGAAGAGTGGCCAAGTTTGTAACAGCTCCATGTTTATTGTCATCTTGGTATAAAGTTTAGTTCCACCGTTAAGGAAATGGAGTGGCCCTAATGGTCATAATCCAGGATAACTGTTGCAAAATATTGTCAATACTTCTTAATTCCTAATGGAGATTAAGGTTCTTGATTGACACATCTTAAGTGTGTATCTCTTTTGTGGGAAGCCATCAAGTTTCCCAGAGTCCCTGTCCCAATTGCTAAATGCAGTTGCTAAACCTGCAGTTGTTCATCAAACTTCCTGCCCTGTGCTATCATGAATGTTCTAATCCCTCTCTGAGATGCCCTACATAGTTTATACTTAAATGACAATGCCAATAGTTATTCACGCTAAAGATGAAATTATCTTATTATCAAACATTTGAGTGCCTTTTAAGGGGAATATCTTGACTACTCTTTTTACTTACCAGTTCATAGATGTTACAAGTCTTTTTCGGATGTGGTTTTTGAATGTTGTTTCAGGTCCCATAACGAAATAAAGTGGACTTGATAAAGTAAACCTGTAAAATTTTCAGATGAAACGATTTTCCAGAGACTTTGTTTATGATGTTACTTCTTGTTATTAAAAAATCTTCCTTCTTGGCCCACCATCTTTGTAGCTGTCAACTGTGAATACATTTTTACTTTTCTGCATCTTAACTAACAAGTTATTTTTTGTCCTAGTTACTCTCGTCCTTGTACCATCCTTTACCTTCTCTTGTTGTACTTCCATTAGAGGAAGATATGCCTGTTCCCAATTCGAAATCTCTGTCCTATGGCCACAAAGCTAAACCTTTGTTTGTTGTATTGGTCTTCATCAAAGGTTCCATCTTTAGATGATTTCTCCTTTTCTCCATAATTGAAGGTTCAAATGGGGATGGTAGAACAGATATCTGCTAATGAGAATTTCCATTTTCTCCGCCCACTTTGTTAGTGGAATCAACTGTTGACACATCCTTTCATGCATGTGCATGTTCTTGTCATCATATATTAGAACCATAATCCAACAACCCTGGGATCCAAGTTCATGGAATTGATCTAGTTCACAGGTACAACTAAGAGAGGTAGAATTGGAATACCATGCAACTTCTGGCATCCGATTTCTGTGGAATTGGGATCCAAGTTCATGGAATCAATTCATTTTGGTTAATTTTGCAAGTATAGATTGTCCTCAAGAATTATCGTATAATACTACTAGTCTGCTGGCAGCTTTACTACTGTCTATAGATTCTAGGACTGTCTGTCCTCCTGACCTACCCGTTTGCTTGTGCTTGTTACGAACAGTTCTGAGCATCTTAAACTTAGATGCTATAAAAGTCAAAATAAATCCGGATGTAGGTATATAGAACAAAGTTAACACTCAAACAAGCAAAGGCTTATATAGTAAAGACACCAATAAGATGTATGCATGCTAATAGTGCACAAAACAAACAAGAAGAAGACTACAAATGCATGAAAGAATGTGCTGTGAAGTCCTCATTCTTTTACACTGTCAAAAAGTAGCTTGATACCAGTATAACGTGTTGTTAAGTCCTATCCTCCTTCTCTGCAAGTCAGACGACTAGTGTTCTGTTCTCTTGGGAAGTCAAATAGTCTATAGAAGATATGAAGTTCCTTTTGGTATTTCATAAATTATGTACAGTTCACGGGAGAAAGCAAGTATCCAAGAAACTATTATGCATTATATCCTTTGATAGGTGACTGCAAATTAGCTAGCAAAACTTACCTTGACCTCAGAACTTGGATCTCCCAATTTATTAGTGTTGTCTTCCTTTGCTTTGTTGTATCTTTCAATCACTGATTTCATGCTGTCAAAATAGTAAAACTGTTTAGATTTTTCAAATGTACATACTGAAAGGTAGTCATTTGCATTGATCATCGCAGTATCATAAAGTTGTTATAACCTAGCAGTTGTTCGATTTCTTTATCATCATAGAAGTCAAATGCAAAATGTAGCAACTTTTAGTAGAATAGTTCATGAGCCTCCTTATAAATTTCCTCATTATATGGTGGAGAATTCCAATTCTAATTCATAATGTTGAGAGATCTCAAGGTTATGGTTCAATATTTGGTTGTATAAGTACTTCTATAGCAATACGTTTTTGCAGAGAACCTATGATCATTGCCAGCCTTAAACCTTTCTCGAGGGCTAATTGGAGACAAACTCTGCACAGTTGTCGAAGGAGAAACACAAACCGCTGAGCAAGTATGTAATTCAGTGTCATCATCGGACATGAACAAAGCATAAATGTGGTGTAAAAACACAGAACAACATACAACTCTTGGATACAGAATGTAAAATCTATAAATAAGCATGTATAGTATTGCACTGCATTGTATACGCATGAATAGAAACACACAAGTAATTCAGCCTATTGCACTGCATTGTATCAGAACCATCATGGATCAAGATTTTCAAATCTTTTCTAGTTGCTTTTCAGAAAAGAGTTCGGGTTTCTTGGATCACCTCCAAGGAGTGACAACTTTGTATCACCGCCACCATACCAAGGAGTTGAGTGTGCAACAAGCGACCTTCATGCGGACACCGTCTTCTCTATTATGTCTCTTGCTGGTGCCTCAAGGTGTGAGTTATTAAATGGCATAATCCATAAATATGTTCTTCAACTTAACTTCAATTATCATGTGTGCCCTCTATTCTTATGTGTGCACAAGTAAACACTTAAACTTATATAAAATTGAACAAGTAGACACATGTTTTATCCTACCTAACATAATACACGTAGGACACGAATTGCCACATAGGACGCATGTATTTATTTGTTCAACTTTTTATGCAAGTTAAAATGCCTACTTGTGCACACCCAATTTGGAGGGCATAGATGTCCGTTGAGACCAAGTTAAAGGACACGCTTATGTATTATTTCTTATTAAATCTTGGCCAGGTTTGCTGTTTTGGTGTTACCTTGCACATTCTGGCCCATTAGTGGTGGTGTTTTGATCAACATGCCAAGTTGTTGAAGGAGTAACTTGAACCAGCTTCGATTAATATCTTTGGTCATGTTTGGTTTTGAATTCAGTTGTTGTTGGATTTGTTTGGGAGCTGCCTAAAAGAGTGAAATTGAGCTTGAATCTCTGTTGAGCTTCCAACATTTAGGGGTCGTTTGTTTGAGAACAAGTTATTCTGGGATAAGTTATCTGACTATGTATATGAGATAACTTATCTCATCACTATGATATAAATGGTGAGATAAATAATCCAATGACTACTTAATACGCCTCCAAGTCTCCAACCAAACACACGCAGGATAAAGTAATATTGTATTTTGTCCCAGGATTATTATTCCTTATATTTCACACCAAACGTCTCCTAAAAATTTTCTTTATAATATTTCTTTCACGTTGTGCTTGCCAACTCCCAACTACTATGTTTGTTCCTAAATAAGTGATGTTTTAGTCTTTTCATTTTATTCCTAGATAAGTGGTATTTCACATTATCAAAAAGGATCAATGATGTTCTTCCAATTATTCCATTATTTAAATAAAGAGAGTTTTACATATCCAAGAAACTACTAAAGAACTACATCTTCGAAAATATTGTACTAGGATGGGAAAATATTTAGAGCATTATTTATATGTTTTGTGCTATATATATATATATATAGATTTTACTAGAAAAATTGAAATTTCTTTATTGCAAAATTCCGAGAAAAATCTGAGATTAAAATTTTTGACTTGCTAGCGTTATTTTTTATGTGCGTCTGTAATAGTATATCCTGTTAATTGTAATAAAATAACTTGAATACTTTTGTTTAAGGAGTTGAAAGTGATTTAATAATTTATTTTATTTGAATGTGAATGATTTTTGTTTATATTACGTTCGAGTATAAACAAGTGTGTATTTATTGTTGAAAGTTTATAAGCAGATGTTAATTTAAAATGGATAAATATTTGTCCTCTTATTTCAAATATATTTAAAGTGAGTACTTACTAGTCTATATTAAATGTCTAATGCATTAAATATTTTTTAGTCTAGTTCCACCTTGAGTTCGAGAATTTTTTTTTACACTATACACTATAAAATCCCCACTCGTATACACTATAACATTAATTAAACAAAATATTATATAGTAAAACCTCTCTAAGTTAATATTATCGGAATCACGAAATATTGTTATTTTGTAGAGGTATTATTTAATAGATAAATTTTTTGTATAAATTTAAAGAGTGTTTTCGAGATTTAATGAAGGTTAATTTTGATTACATCAAAATCATTGTATCTTACTAATTTATATATCATATTTATTGAATTAATATAGAAAATAAACTCATCATACATAAAGTACAATGTATGATATATGATTCATTGTAAGATTTTGTTTATCAAATGATTCATTGTTTATCCATTGTAATTAATAAATCATTGTAATGTACCTTCTTTCTTAATAATTAAATATTATTTATTGTACCTTTACTAAAAACATTCAATGTATGATAGTGAGAGAATAAACTATATAAGCATTATAGGAAACTTTTTCAAACCGTTTAAGTAATGACTTCTCATCTAAAAAAGTGTCACAAAATCAACAATAATAAATCAAATACGTACGTAAAACATTATGTAAATACAAAAATAAAAAAAAATTCACATGCACTCAAAAATATTTGCAGTTATTGCTTGATGAAAATTTTCACTTAAAAGTTAGTTCAGGTAGATTTCAAGCACACTCAAACGGTCAATTGAGTATCTTTCGACTAACTTAGGAGAAGGAAAGAATATCAAGTGGTTCAAGCCGATAAAATTGTCAGACATGAAAAAGGTTGTTTATGAGTGGTTTCTCCAATATTAAGATCGTGTGAATATAATCAGGGAGTTAATTTTGGAGAAGACGAGATACAATGAAACTTTTATATCATTAACAAGATTTTAAGCACAAATTTTCTCAAAATTGTCTTAAGAAATCAAGCCAAGACATGGGATCTAGTCATTCCGGGGAGTGCTTCAATCATATACAAGACATGGAGACAAAATTGGAGTCTGAGGGAAAAATATACCAGTTTCCAATGTGAAATGTGTTTTTAATATGAATGAAACTGATTTGTTTTACAGGTTACAAACAGATTATTCTTTTGTTACGAAATAATTTAAAAAAATAAAGTAGGACAAAGAAAGGCTCACAGTTGTTATTTGTTGCAATGAGAATAAATCTAGAAAAAGAAAATCTATATAGACTATTGAAAAATATGCAAAATCATGTTGCTTTAAGAATGTCAATATGAACAGCATGAATTGTCATTATGGTGCAAATAAAAAGGCATAGATGACAAATGCTTTTTGATAAATATATTCATTGATTTGATCATAAAATGTATGGTAGATAAATTTTACTTGTGATAACATCCAAGAAATATAAAAGGACTATAAAATATTGAATTATTTTTTTTGCCACCTAACATGAAATTTAAAATTCAACCTTATGATACTGGAATAACAAGAGCTTTCAAGATGCATTATCATAGTATATTTTACCTTAGTATATTAGAAGACTATGAGCTGGAACAACCTGATTCAGGAAAGATTAATGTTTTGGATGCTATCAATCTTGTGGTTGCGGCTTGGACGAAAAATAGTCAGCAAGAGACAACAACAAAATATATATTTGACACTATAAAATTCATTCGAGGCATGAAACCTCAAAAAAAAAAAATGAACCCACTTGTGAAAACGACATTCATGAACTTTGAGGTCATGATTAATGATCTTTGTTATCACAATAAAATGGAAATCAATAGCCTGTTGGATTATCCGGATGAAAATGTTACATGTTCAGAGGTCCATAACTTAGAAAATATTGTGGATACTATTGAAAAAAACATTGTTGATGATGAAGTTGAAGATGATACAATACCTTTGAAATCAATTACGTGTAAGGAAACACTTATCGTATATGGAATATTTCACAATTTTCAGTACAAATCGAAAAGACAACACTGGAGTTGTCTCTAGCTTTTCTTATTACATCCAAAAAAAATTGGTGTTGTTTTCTCAAACAACACTAAAAATTTATAAAGAGCTTTATATGTGATAAGTGTTTCCTTACACGTAAATGGTTTCAAAGGTATTGTATTGTATTGTCTTCAACTTTCATCATCAACATTGTTTCTCCGTTGGTATCCACAATTTCTTCTTAGCTTTAGACCTATGAGCATGTATCATTTTCATTCGGATAATCTAACAGGCTATTAACATCCTTTTATTGTGGTAATCAAGATTATTTAATCATGACCGCAAATTCATAAATAATGTCATTTTCACAAGATGATTCATTTAAATTTCGTGAGACTTCTTTCTCATAACAAACTATGCAGGGTCAAAAATAATTTGTTATTGTCTTTTGTTGAACATCTATCGTCCAAGCCACGATCGTAAGATTGATAGCATTTCAAAATATCAATCGTTCTTGGATCAATTTGTTCCAACTCATGGTCTTCTCATATCATATAGAAAAATCTATTAAAATGATGCATTTTGAGCTCTTATTATTCCAACATCACAAGGTTGAATTTTTGATGTTATGTTGAGTGGCAAGAAAAGCAATTAACATTTGGTAGTCCGTCGATATTTTTTTAATGTGCTGAACAATTATCTACCACAAGTAAAAGTCGTCTACCGTGCATTTTGTGGTCAAACCAACAAATATATTTATCAAAAAATACACTTATCATCTATGCTCTTTTATTTGCACCATAGTGATAATTCAAGTAGTTCATGTTACTTTGCATATTTTTCAATATCCATAAAGAATTTTTCAGATTATCCTTGTTGCAACAAATAAAAATTGTGTGCCTTACTTTGTCCTGCTTTATTCCTTTCATAGCAAGAGAATGATCAACTAGTAACCAGTAAAACAAATTTGTTTCATCCATATTAAAAACATTTTTCATAGGGAGCTGGTCTATTTTTTTTTTAAATGGACCACAATTTCATCTCCATATCGTGTATATGATATGAACCGCTCTCTTTGAAATGACGAAATGAATGGATATCATGTCTTACCTTTAATTTTTCAAGACAATCTTGAGAAAAGTTGTGCTCAAGACTTGTTAAGAATATAAAAAATTCATTGTATCTCTTACTTTCTCCTAATTTATCTCCAATTATTTTCGCACGATCTTAGTATTGGAGAAATTACTTGTAAACAATCTTCTCCAAATCTAAAAAGTTTGTTGGCTTGTGCCACTTGATATTCCTTTCTTTTTCTAAGTTAGCCGAAAGATATTTCGTTAGTCGTTTGAGTGTGTTTAAATTCTACCTTGATTAACTTAATTTCAAATGATAATTTTCATCAAACCACAACTACAATTTTTTTAAAATACATGTGGAATGACCTCTTTTATACTCACATAATGATTACATATTTGATATGTCATTATTGATTTTGTGACACCTTTTAGAAGAAAAGTCATTGTTGGGTATGATTTGAAGAAATTTTCTATGTTATTTATATAGTTTATCCTCTCACCATCATACATTAAATGTTTTTAGTAAAAATATAATGAATAGTATTTGATTATATTATGAAACAATGATCATTACAATGATTTATTAATTACAATGAATAAACAATTAACATCATCATTTAATAAAATTACAATGATGCATACATTATACTTTATGTATAATGAATTTATATTTTATATTAATTCAATAAATATAATACATAAATTAGTAATATATAATGATTTTGATGTAATAAAAATTGAACTTCATTAAATCTTGTAAACATACTTTAAATTAATAAATATTAATTTGCACTTCTTTTTCTTATCTTCTACATTTTTTAAATTATTTTTCTTCTTTATTTATTTTAAATATTTGCCTTCATAACTTATATCTAATTACCTATTCAATTGTCATGCTTAATATCCATAACTTTCATGTTTTTCAATTTTCATAATCATAACCTTCAAATATTTAATTTAAAACTTTAAGATGTCTTTTGGTATTCCTCTATTTTTATCTATATAAAATCCATCTTTTTTGTTTCATGAAGCTCACATCCAAGATTATACCCTTTTCATTTTATATGTAAAGTAGTGAAGCCATCAACATCTAAAATATATGATATATCTACCTTAGTCTGATTATTTATCACTTTACGAAAATGAAATGATTTTTTTATTCGCTTCATGCTTTAGTTTGACTCGATGGAGAAGACTTTTGACTTTTGATTGGATATCAGAGAAGGTGTTGGCAAAAACTTAGAAAATTATGTATCAATTTAGTATTTCTTTTTCCATTTATATATTGTTATGATTAAAATCTTTAAGAAGGATGAGTATGTTATTTTCTTCTTATATGTTTATTTTTTATGGTTTTTCTCAATTAGTCTTCTTTAATTTAATTTTCTATAAAAAAATTATTGTTATAACATTTATTTGAGATTCTTGCATTTTAGTACTCATTACATGCATGTTGTCATTGAATTTTAATAGTCCTAACGAATTTATAAAATATTGCATATATAGGACACACGTGCAAACACACGATGTCCGAAACAAGTAAAGCTAATAAGTCTTAATCCAAAATATACTTTTAGCATATCAAAGCTACACGTAGCTAGTAATTAAATAGAAAACTTTGTAGTAAAATAAAACATATTCTTTGAAATGGACCTATTTGGATCATAAAATCTCGAGTTAATATATCTTCATCCTAGTAATTGTTGAACTTCTATAACAAACAGAAAAACACATTACATTAAACTGAATAGTAGTGCCAAATAAATTACTTCAAAAATACAAGAAGATGCAAATCTATAAGGTCAAAATGATTAAGCACCCAGATCCTATCCATATACACACATAAAACACCGAATTAATTAAAAGGCTTGATACATAACCCGTCATTTAAACTTGTCATGAAATTCGATTTTAATACTCGAACTAAGTCATGTTTCAATTAAACATGTCAAGTATTCTTAATAAAGTGTTTCAATTAGACATTTCCAATTCATATTTTGAATATTTTTGGGTTTGTGCTCACTCATTCGTCTATATATATGAGGTAATTAAGTTAACTATATAAAATATCTCATCTCCTTTAATTATACACTTGCACCTCAATACGCCGTAAAACCCCAGGCATTTTCTACTTGAAGTAAATGCGTATAGTTAAAAGAGATAATACATTTTATGTAGTTAACTTCACTAACAAATAGACGAATGAAAACACACACAAAAGTTTTTTTCACGAAATTTGAATATAAATTGTCTAATTAAAACACTTTACTACAAATTAAGATTTAGAATTGCAACATAACTTAGTTCGAGCATCTGACGTATGAAGTTTAATTGATGGCAAAAAAGTGTGAGAAATAGGGGAAAGAACCTGGTGTTTGCATAATCATGGAGCTTGCTAGTACTGGAGAAGATGATGACTCCAACCTCCGCGTCACACAAAATCGCTAGCTCCTTCGCCTTCTTCAACAATCCATTCCTCCTCTTCGAAAACGTCACTTGCCTGCTCGTTGAATTATCGATCCTCCTTATCAATATCTTTCCTCTCCCCATCGAGCCCGATCTCTATCTCTCTCTTCTTTCTCTCTCTACATATATATATAAACACACAATCAGAAATACATATATATACTCCTACACATACGTTCATAGGCACGAATCTACTAGTAGATTAGATTTGTGAATCGAGATTTAATTTATCCATTAAAATTCACTCCAACTGCACAAGGTGATGAATTCATAAAATTAAAATCCTAGATCCGCCCATCTGTATGTGCAACTACAGGAAAATGCCAGAAACCGATATTTTATACTTAATTTGATCCTAAAATCACAAAAAAAAAAAAAAAAAAAAAGTAGTGAATACAATTGTATTCTGATTCAAAATTTTGAAATACAGCTATAACGTATGGATTTAGGAGAGAAATCAATTAGCGTTTTGGAAATGAGGAAAACGAGGGAATTTACAGTTGATTTGCAAATCTACTACTAATATAGATGTGAGTTCATGCTTGAAATCTGTTAAAACTCACTGAAATTGCTGAAACTATTGAGCTCAAAATTCAAACAAGGTGATGAGTTTAATTATTAGTTAGCCGATAAGCTTAAAATTCTAGATCCGCCTCGAAAAATAGCCAGAAACAAATACTTTTTGAAAACGGAGGAATTTACAGTTGATATTCAGAAGAAAATGAACGGAAAAAGAGAGAGAAAACTTACTTGTAGCGATGAAGAAGACAAAAATGAGGGCTGCGAAGTCGTCGTTTCGGGTCAATTTGAGGAAAAAGTGTATGTAAAAGGCGAAAAAGGAAGAAGAGAAAACCGCTGATGGTTTTTTATTGTGCAATGAAATGCCACGTGTACCAATGAAATGCTTGATTTGATAAATTTGTTAAAAAGTGCCGACGTCAATAGATCGCTGACGCGTGGTGTGGTACTACGGAAAATTATTCCAAATTAAATGCTTTCCTTTTTAATAATTTTCCTTTTATGTGAGATTCTGGATGACGGAATTACCCCTGTTGATTGATTCGTTTGATACACGAGATAAGTAAGAATATTTCTTGGTACATGTACTCATAATTTTGTCACATAAAAGTGGAATGGAGAGAGTATCATTCTTATTTGTCAGTTGTCACATTATATGATTTCATTTTCCTTTTCACGTAAAATTTAGCATGTTTTATAAAATGTTTGGTGGCCAATTTTTCTTTTTTACATCAGAAATCTTATAATAAATATCTTTTTTACAGACGTTTATGTGGAATTGATCAAAACTTGAGTCGTGTTAGACCTTGTGTATATTTCACCTGATATAAGTGTATCTCCAAGATTCAACAAGTTTTTCTAGTATAAAACTAGGCATCAAAAACTAACAAAGATTTTTACCGATAAAAAATCTAATAGAAAATGGGAAAATAAATTTATGTATATATGTATCTTCACACCTTCATAGAAAAGGATCAAGAGTGAGTAAATTATTATAGGTGAAATATTGGATACAAAAATCCTCACATCTGTTCCTCATGAAAACATTTCAAGGCTATTCAATGTATAATGAATTGTCTGTCATAATTGCAGATAATAAAAACGGTATTTGAAATACTAAACTTCATAATGGCTAATTAAAGGACAATTATAATGACAGGTCTAAATTCTAATCATTAATGTCAACATAATTGCTAATAATAGAGTACTACTATTATTTATGGAGAAAAAATATTTAGGACGTAAAATAATATTCTCTTTTAAGTATGAGTAGAAAATAAAATAATTCCTTTTGAGATAGATGCTTTCTTTATTTATTTTTTGGACCTATTTGATCATAAAAATTATTCACTTTTTTAAAAATTAATATTTTTAATCATAAAAAAAATCAAATCCAGCTTAATGTTGTATTTTGAATGTGGCAACTCCTTCGACCTTTAAACAATTCATATTTATGAAATATAATTTATCTTATGGAGAAGGGGTATAAAAGTAAACATAGAATATCCCTCCACTACCAGTACAACTGTACAATAATAATAGAGTATATAAATTATAAAGTATGATTCACATGCTGATAGGACAGAAAAATAATGGCTTCTATTTTCGGATTTTAAGGTTACCACAAAAGGAAGTCGTGCACCGTCCCTTTTAAAAGTTCTAATTTTTATGACAAATTGTCTTTTATTTTGTCTTTTTGTCTACCCAATTTTCATTCTTTTTATCTTTTTTTTTTTTCTTCTCCAAATAAGAGTGGAAATAAAGAAAGAAAAATCCACCCATTATCTAAATCTGGCTAGTGCTCTTTGTTGTGTTTGTTTATATGGTCTTATTACTTAGTGATCTGGTATGCGGTTAAACAGGTTGATCCTAGAGATTATTTTATTTCTTAAGTATGTTGTAGTAGGAAATAATGTAAGAAAATGCTTGTGTATAGAATTTTTTCTTAAGGTAATTGAGTTTTTTCTTTTCTATCAGAAATCTCTATCTAATCTAATTTTTTGAGTTTCATACATGATTAATTAAGTATGTAAACTTTTTATCTGAACTATCACCAAATGTTTATCGAGTTACACGTCAACTATCGGTTGTTCACTTTTTCTACTTGACAACAGTGATATTTCAGGTAGAAAAAGTGAACAATTGATAGTTGAAGTGCACTTTGATTAACATTTAATGATAGTTTAGGTAAGAAACTCACACATATGAAATTCAAACAACTAAAATACTTTAAGTGAGTTTTTAAAAGACTTAGTGCCCATTTGGATGGGATTTTAAGTTGGTCAAACTGACTTAAAAGTCAGTTTTTGACTTGTGAGAGTGTTTGACAATTATAAGAACAATTTAAAATAAGCCAAAAGTTAAAAGTAGGGTGACCCCTACTTTTTTTTTAACTTAAAAGTCATTCTACTTTGATCAAATATTTTACTTTTTTACCCTTAATTCTTTTAAACAATTCCCAAATTCTTTCATGTGATCTATTCAAATTATATGTTTTTGAAATTTAAAATAAGTTGCACATTTAAAATTAACTTAAATATTAAGTTATTTATATTGAATTAAAATATAAATTAATTTTATTTTAATTTTTCTTAGAAATAAAAACCTTAGATTAATCAACTTTTTTATTATGTTAATAGTTTTAAGGGTATTTCAGACATTTTGATTAAAAAAAGTATTTAACAACACTTATTTGCCAAACACATAAACAATTTTTTTTCAAGTGCAACACTTTTATCCAAACACATAACTACTTATTTTTAAAATAACTTTCAGCACTTTAAAAAGTTACTTTTTTTAAGTCAATCCAAACGGGATCTTACTCTTTTTGACCTAATTTATATGACTTACTTTCCTTTTAATCGGTTCCACCTTTATGAAATAACTTATACTCACGCAAATATCTACTACTTATTTTATACCAGAATTTTTTTTTAAAAAAATAATCTAAACTCTGTGTCAAATCGAACTATAAGACACGTGTGTATTAGACAAATGTTTAGTTGGATGAGCCCAACCCATGTGAACAATATTTAGAGGACCAATAAGATTCCTGCCTCGTTAAAATGAACAGAATTTAGTGGCATGTCAATTAATTATGGTAACTAGGGTTTCTGCAATTCCAACTAAAAAGGGGGGACAAGTGTCAATCATCAGCAAAATCAAATTTAGACACACCAATAACCAAGAAAGTGATTTCTACTTTCTATAATACCTTCTTAGAATCCACGTTATAATGAATTATTACTACTCTTATTAATCTGCTTGATAATTGGAGAATTAACTAAAAAAAAAAAAACCACCTATAGCAAGTTGCAACATCACATAATGCAAATGGTGCAAGTTGCACAATTGATAATTATGCTAGCACTATAAGAAGTCGGAGGGTGGATTGGAGTTATGCAGATATTAGTGTTGGGATATATACTATTAACTACGTGTTTAGATATAGTATTTATTATAGAATAATTATTTATAGATCATATATTTGTTTATGGTGTTTGTTTACTTATATAGTAGATGATTTAGTGTATAGAGTTTAAGCTTATACACAGAGGATTAAATCATCGGTTCTTATAAGTATAAAGTTTTTTTTGTTCACAATCTAAGATGGAAATTGGACATGCCATCGGGACGATTGTAGCACAAGATTATATGTAGTTTATCTTGATTATCGGAATGGTATAGTTTCAACTTCTTGTGCTAGTGCATTTTGTATGTATTGAACGGGACCGAGTAGAGATAGTTGCTTTAGACTGACTGACAAAAGCATATTCTTTAAACTATTAAATGTATTTATATTCTTAATCCTGATATAACTATTATGATCTGTATATGTTAATCATCGTTTTGATTTATTAAACGTTTTGATTTATTAAACGGTGAGATTCTAAGATGGGTCAATATTCCTGATAGATTGGATAATGATAATATATATTGGTGAAATAATAAGTTATTAGTTGATGGAATCCATGTCTCGGTATAGAGATTGATGATATGCCTTTTTTAGAAGCTTAAAAGTTTTCATCGTGTCAAACCTTGCAAGTGGATTTAAGAATCCGACACATGAAATAAGTTAAGCAATGCTCTAAAGGAAATTGATCATTGAATTAAGTTCGTCAGTAATTTAATTTATTGATTAGTATCTGTAATCTTAACATGGGGAATTTTGAAATATAAATAGAGGAGTGCAATTACGAATTTCTAGTGGAATGATTTGTAATTTATTATGGTAAGAATAATTCAAATTAATTATTTGGAATTATTTTCATAATAGGAAGCCTCGGTAATTAATTATGTGGTCCCTACCGTGTCCATATTTATCTAGAACTCAGAATTTATTGTAAAGGGAAAAAGGAGAAGTATGTGTCTTTCTCTATTCTAAGGAAAGGGAGAAGGATGTATCTTTCTATGTTCTAAGGCAAGGGAGAAGTATATCACTTTTTCTATTCTAAGGAAAGGAAGAAGGACATGACTTTTTTCTTTTCTAAGGAAAGGGAGATGTACATGTCTTTCTATTCTAAGGAAAAACATGGTATTCCTTTTACTTGGACTAAGAAGAAATCTCTATAAATAGGGATTCTTCTAACCCTTG